TATATATATAGATCAAACATCTGCCTGTCATTTGTAAGTCCCCTCAGGTTTGAGGTCCAATTCCCCACGAGTGTAGGGTATGGTACTCGAATTCCTAGGCGCATGAGGGATAACCGGTGCTGGTATAATAGCCTTCAGCCATTCCTTATGAAATATATATATATATATATATATATATATACATACATACATGCATACATACATATATATACGGATACATATACATATACAAATACATATATGTAGATGGATGGTCCAATCTTAATGATTTAGGTTAAATTTTGAATAAAACTGAACCAAACTCCTTACTATTTTGGGCTTTGCCATTCTAAAGAAGTAAAAGAGTCTCAATGGAATTTCGGTTAAAACTAGAGAGTTTCGCCCAAAAATTGTATTTTACATTAAGTTTATGGAAACTTGAATAGTTTGCCAATGTTCTACTAAAACTTTAACATTATAATCCCAGTAAATTTCAAATATAAAATAAATTGTGCAACAACTAAATAATGTTCTTTATTTCATACTTAACAATACTTCTATAGAATTTTATAATAGAAAAGACAAAATCACATCTAAACAAAATATAAAAACCTCAATGCTCTGATACAAACAAAAAACAAAATTTTATGATTTGATCAAAACTGAATTTTAAAATCATGGTTGCTACTAGCAAGAAAGTTAACACTTTGCTTTTGAAACAAAAGGCTAGTAATTAAATATAATGCTAATTGAAACAGACTTTAATGTTGTAGGACTTCTTTCTTCTATTTTTCAAGTGACGGTTTGTCTGCTAATCTCACAATAGCTTTTATGCTTGATATTTGAAAACATGAAGTTAATATCAGAACTCAACAGTTGAAAATCCAAATTATGAAGACTGGAGTGGGATTACTTAATTCAAAACCAAATAACTAAACAGAAAAAAATATACTAGTTTACAACAATTGAATTTTAATTTAAAAGTTAATATCGAGTTAATATCAAAGTAGAAAGCTTCCTTCAAACCTCAACAAGGGCGCTGTATCTCCTGTCAAGCTTGGAGGACATGTGGATAGCATCGGAGTGGAAGGGAGAGCTATCACCAACAAATATCAATGTCTTGCATTGTATGTTCTTCAAATCCTTAGTCAAGTCATGTCTCCTGTAAATAAGATCCAAAATCATTCAACAAGAGCTGTAAGCAAACAACTAATTAGTGCACAAGAAAAATATTACAAGAACAATACCCATTCATTGATTCAAGAAACCTCCACACATTGATGGCCTGCCTTTCATCTAGCAGCTGCAAAGGGATCAGTGTTTCAATCATTAAGCTTGCCTCTAATGGCAGAAGCATTACATAAAAAAAGCAAAAGTTAATGAATTACTAACGCTTCTGCAGGCTTGGACTATATCTGACTCAGGGAATTGTGCGCTGCCACGAACTTCCTGCAAGAAACAGTAAGATTTATCTCTTGATGCTCTACATGTTAAATCAGATTCCCAACTGAAAGTTGAGTTACCTTACTGAAGTATCTCTGAAGCAAGAATTCTTTTGCAAGTCCACACATCCCATAGAAATAAAGCAAATTTGACATCACCTGAGAATTCAATTTTGTCAGAGGTAGTTTGCACTTTTTTCCAATGGATGAGACTCAAAGTGGTACCTTGGTGTACAGCCATTGGGCCCAAGAGGGCGTTTTACATAATGGTGCAACAAGAATCAAACCTACAACTCGGTCTGGATATTTTGACTGCAATAAGCTGGACTGAACTTAGACTTGGTAAGCTACAGCATAATGCTAAAAAAATTACTAAAAATAGACTTACAGCGAAAAGGGTAAGGATGTAAGCACCAGCAGTGACACCCATGCACATCACAGCTTTTAACCTGGATGGAGAAATTTGCAGTTAAGATAATGGTTTGAAAAATGTTGCATTTTGTTCCCTGAATGGTATTTTCAGTTTAGCATTTCCTAATAAAAGAATGATTAAAATGTTGAAAAGATAAATAATATCTATACGTTTTTGAAAATTACCCAAAGAAATCGAGAACTTCTGCAACCTGATCTGCCAAGTCATCAACAGAAGGCACTGGCACATCTGAAGAAATAGGTCCAGCTCCCAACTGTGGGAGCTCTTATGATAAAGAGAAAAATCATGTGAGCAAATTGTGATGCAAAAATAAGCACTTTCAACATGTTAAAGAAAAACAGATCGATAAAAAAATTAAAAAAAAAGAAAAACAAATCGATTGAGAGAGAAGTAAACCAAACCACTGACCTCATGTCCAGGAGGACTGATATGATACATACAAAAATTGTGCAGAAGCAAAGATGAAGCTTCTGGGCAGAAAATTAATCCTTGAAAGCATGACATATCTGGAAAAAAAACCAAAACGAGAAATAATATTCAGAATTTACTCCCTTACTCCATCAAGAATTGTCCATGAATACAATTATTATCACTCTACTACAGTACAGAAAGCATCAACTGAAACCTAGACAAATCTGCAATTAATGTCTTGAAGCAAGAGGAAAACTAGCAGAGAAGCAGAAAGTCTTTAACAAGTAAAATTTATTTCAGTTCAGTTCATCATCATCAAAACAACTATAATACAAATTCAAAAAATGGAGCTACCGATAGTTCTACTTCAACAAAGGATGATATAGTCAAGACGAGGAGTTACCGAAAGGAAAAAAAATTAACCGTCCTAACTTACAGTTTAACGCAACATCAGGATAGGTTACAAGCGCAGGCTTTTCTTGATCACCAAACACTGCCACCGAAACCGTACCACAGCCAGTTTGTACAATGTGTTCCTGATAGGGCCAATCAAACAACCAAACCAATAAATGTATCAAAATCTAAAACCCTTATTTCCTTTACAAATCCCCAAATAGAAGCTTGCTCAAAATTCCATCTAATTAGAAGACCTATTCACCAATCCATTAAACCAAGAAAACAATCACTACCATTCCCGGTCACTTCCTGTACCAAACTCCAACAAAATGGATAGCATTCCGCAGCAGAACACTCAAACAGCACAATAATGCATGAGATTCCAACAAACCCTCAAAGAACACAACAGAAATCGATTGAGGTTTAAGGAGCTCACACCTTGCCGCCGAACGAGATTCTTTCCACGTCAATGGAAACAGAGCCGCTCGATTCTCCCATCACCCGTCAAACTACTAACCCTGCTCTACTCCTCTCTCGCTGGCTGGCTTTCATCGTCTTCTTCTTCTTCCTCAAGAATTTTATACTCCGGCTAACTTATCTGTGGCCACCGACACCTTGGCTTGTACATTTTCAGGGTTCCCATGGCATCGATGCTCAAGGGGCCCCACCGGACAGCTGGCCGAGTTGTGCTGGAGCTGTGGTGGGGTCCACTGATAACGGGTCATTTTTTTCCCTCTAATGTCGCCGCACAGGCCGTTGTACGAATTTAAATCGTGCTGCAATTCACCGGATATCTTGTCGGTATGTTGTTATCGTGCTCGAAATAATAAAGATGGACCCAACCGCTTGTGCTCGAATATCACAATTTGTACATGCAATCTATACAATCTCTTATCGTGATCCATGGCATGGGTTTACTACTCAAATAAATGATGCCGTTGAGATGATAAATGATAATACCACTTATAAAAAGAAGAGGTGAGATGTGTCACAAGATAATTTAAACAATCATGCATAAATATTTATGTATTTTAGATGGGATTACTTCAAAAATCTAATTCAAGCTATTTAGAACTCTAATTTTAATGAATTCTTATTGGAATTGAACATCTCAATCATATGAATGCAATGCACTAAAAGTGATTTAATCAAAGTCAAAATGAGTTCAAATCATTAACTTAAAGTAAAATTAAAAATATTAAGATATTTATTAAAAGTTCAAGGGATCTTTAATTTTTGGCATGCTTATAATTAAGTCAAACATCTCAATGACAGGATCTAACGGGCTTATATTGCTCAATTTTGTGGCTATTAAAATATTCAAATATTAAAATAATATTCTATGATATGAGAAATCAACACAAAACATTCAATGGAGTATTAGGAGATTTTTGACAAAAAATTTCAAAATATTACTTTAAAAAATTATGAATAGATTTTTGTTCTTTGTATTTTGAAGAAAAGCGAGTGTTCTTGTTTTAGATTTAATAGATTGAATTCATAAAACATAAAGAGAGTTAGAAGTCAATGATCAACAACAATCACCATTAACCACCATAAACTATTGTTGTAGCACAACTATTGTTCTACTATTGTTGTTCCTCAGTAAAATCTCTATGCTATTGTTATATAGCCAGTCTCACTTAAATGACATTGTCATCCAACAACTTCTACTGTGGCGGTAGAAGGACAAATAAGTATTGTGATCAGGTTTTTTATATAGTGCAATATTTGGAATGAGCATTGCCTTATATTTTTTCATATTTCAAAATTTGCACATAAAATTATTTTTATCTCTCATAACTTTGTCTATTTGACTATTGGAAATTCCTCTTAAGTTAAGACTTGTATTTTTTTATATCATTAAGACTTTCTTACACATAATAGTTCGATGATGTGTGAGAGAAATCAACCATTTTTACACACTCCACCTACTAGGTGTAATACTTTTTATAACATAGTCTCTCATTGTAATATCCATCATTCCAAGGAATAATCTTTGAACAAAGAACATCTTTCCATTGTTCCTTATCCATCTAACAAACATTGGATATGTCCTTGAAAGATTATGTACACTTAATGAATCTCTGACCCTTACGGGAAAACCGTACACTCGACAACATCACAATATCACAATTTGATATGGTTGCCTAAACCAAGATTGACTATAAATTAAAGATGTCTAACTTGAGAACAATCATACAGGGTCCTCTCATCATATGACTAGATTTCCCCCCTCCACTAGTGCAAAACATCAACCTTTTAGACACCACAATTTTATGCATCAGTCATATGTAGCTTTGTCATTGCTAAATCGTTGTGATTGCCAATATTGATGTTGCTCGTTTACCATGGCTTGATTTTCAATGCACCACCATTGCTTAGTTGCCACTGACATCACTATCCGAATGATGCTATCGAACTTCCATTATCACTAGTGCCATTAACAAAAAAAATCTTTGCTCATCCACCTTTACTTAATTTTCATCATCCAACCATCATTGTTAGATCATTTTATTCATGTTATATATGTGTAAACATTGTCATTTCACCATGACCATTGGGTTATTGTTGAATTACCACTATTGCTAACGCTATGCTACTTGTCCATCACATGAGTTAGCTGATCTCAAATATTTTAATTAGACTTACCAAACTATATCCACCTGATCTCCATCATTCAGCTATAATTATCTAACTTAAATCGCTCATCTTTGATCTCTTAACCTCAATCACCTTGACTATCGTTACCCAACTATAAATGTCTAACCTTAATCCCTCAGTTAAAGTTAATTGACTATAGTTGCTATTATAAACGTTCAACCTTCATCACCAGATCTCTCAAACACTGTCACATGACTAATAATTTTTAAGCTCAATTACCTAATAACAACTTTTAATAGAACATTCAACCACTAAAGTCCGCTAACTTTGTTGCTTATCAACAACAAAGTTGATGCTTTCTAACATTATCATTTATCATTATTTATAAGGCCGATGCATGCTATCAACACATGGCATCATATATCATGCTAATGCACATCATTGAAGCATGTCATCACTTATCAAGTTAATGTCTATCATTAACACACACCATTACATCTTATAAAATCCTTGGAAGGCACGCCTATGAGATAACATCAAAACTACTAGTGGATAATGCGATCATGAGAATTATATTATAAGGACAAGTGGTAAATAGAGTCTCCACTCATAAGCCTTAGAAGACAGACCCATGAGGTAGCCTTGACGCGAAGCTAATTGTGGACAAGTTTTTTGCGAGAAAATTTTTATGAGAGCCAAGTAGTAAATAAGATCTCAAACTCAAAAATTCTTAGAAGGCTAAAAGATTAATGCATATAGATATACTAAATATCTTAAAAGAGTAAAAATTTTAGAAGAGACAGTATATTTAAATAACTAAAGGCAGATAGAAGGACATTAAAAGCCTCAAAATGTATAAGCACATTAAAAATTTTGAAATGTTGCAGCTTCGGAAGTTATAAGCATGTCAACAAAATCAGTAGGCTAAAAATAAGTAAAGACACACACATACACACAAACAGAAACTCACACACGCATGCACAAACTAAATATTTCAGAAGGCTAAGAAATTTAGAAGGTAGAAGCATATTCAAAAAATTTCAAAAGACATAAGTCTCATAAATTACCAACACATTAGAATATCAAAAGACTAAATATCTTAGAATGAATAGATATATCAAAAATCTCAATATATATATATATATATA